AGAGAGAGAGAGAGATGGATTCTCCATTTTGCAACCTTCCAGATGATATGATCAAAAGAACCCTTGCTGCATTGCCTGTGAAGTCCATCTTTAAATTCAAGACCGTATGCAAATCATGGAAAAGGTTACTCTCCTCTCATCACTTTTCCATGATCCATTCAATCTCTAATTTCAAATATTTTGCTCTCTTTGTCCATCATATCGACGATGAGCCCCAATTGGTCTATGTCGATGCTGGCGACATCACCAGTCCTTCATGCTATAACAAAACAGAGTTTCAGGATCAGGACCTCAGATTGGTGGCCTGCAATAGTGGCATGGTGTGCTGCATGTTAGATTCGGATAGCGGCTATTACTTTGCTGTTGGGAATCCCATAATCGAAAAGGAGTTCATCCCTCTAACAACACTCGAACTTCAAGTGCTTGATTTTGGATTTTTCTTTGACCCCATTACGCAAAACTTCAAGATATTAGTAAAATTCAATGCTGACATAGATCCCGATACCCATTGTTCTATTGCCTTTATTATGTTTGATTCATCGATTGGGAGATGGAGGTCACCGAGAAATCTAAAACAGATTCAACTCTATGACCTGTCGTTGTCAGTTTGCATTGGTACCGATTGCTATGGAGTTTCTTTAGACAGACAAAGTACACGTATCCTAACGAGTTTTGACATGGTGAGAGAGGAATGCAAAACAGTCCATACTCCAGTAAGGCTTGAGGATGATTGCTTTTACACAATCCATGAGAGGGATGGCAGTCTCTGTCTAATTCAAGTCACAAGACATGTGCAAGCACGAGCACGGATTTGGATTTTATATGAAGATATGGAGTGGATGCCTGTCGTGACAGCTGATTTGAAGCAGTTGGGCTTGAATAAGTTGGCGCAACTGGGGTTAGGGCTCAATGATTTTTTCTTGAGTCCGGAAATTTGGATCGGTGACACATTATTTTTGGGCGTTCATGTGACAGATGAGGTACTTTTGAGGAGTTCACGTAGCTGGAACTTGCACGTTGATTATGATATAAAGAGTGGTCAGTTAGGGAAAATGGTCACTGATGTTGATATCCGCTCTGTTGTAATGTATCAGCCCTCCATATTCACTTGCAAGATGGAAAAGAATGGGATCTGTAATTTTCAATATTTCTCCCTCTTTATCCATTATATAAACGATGATCCCCAACTGGTTTATGCTGATGCTGATGGCATTACCTGTCCTTCATCCTATAACAAAATGAAGTTTCAGCATCAAGATCTAAGATGGTTGGCCTGCAACAATGGCATCGTGTGCTGCATGTTAGATTCTGATAGGGGTTATTACTTTGCTGTAGGGAATCCCATAACCGAAAAGGTGTTCATCCCTCTAAAAAAATTTAAACCTCAAGTGCTTGATTTTGGATTTTTCTTTGATCCCATTACACAAAATTTCAAGATATTAGTAAAATTAAATGCTGATATGGATCCCAATACCCATTGTTCTAGGGTCTATATTATATTTGATTCATCAATTTGGAGATGGAAGGCACCAAGAAAAAAAAAACAAATTCAACGGTATGACCTATCGATGTCAGTTTGCATTGGCACCAATTGCTATGGAGTTTCTTTAGACAGAAACCAAAGACGTGTCCTAACGAGTTTTGACATGGTTAGTGAGGAATGCAGGACAATCCATACTCCAGTAACGCTTGTGGATGACTGCTCTTATAAAATTCAAGAGAGGGATGGTGGGCTGTGTCTAATACAGGTAGCAAGAGATGAGCAAGCACTGACACAGATTTGGGTTTCATTTGAAGAGACGGAATGGGTGCCTATGATGAAAGCTAACTTGATGCACTTGGGTTTAAACAATTTGGAGAAACTGGGATTGGGTTTTAATGAGTTTTCATTGTATCCAGAACTTTGGATCGGTGACACACTATTTTTGGGTGTGTGTGTTACAGAGGAAGTACTTTTGAGGAGTTCACGTAGCTGGAACTTACACGTGGATTATGATATAAAGAGTGGCCAGTTAGGTAAAATGGTCACTGATGCTGACATTGGCTGCATTGTGATGTATCAGCCAACCCTATTCACCTGCAAGATGGAAAAGAGACAGAAACTTCGGTAGTCAAAATGGTAGGCTTACTTCCATTACTCTTTTAATTTTTTTTGTTCTAATGATTAAATGCATAGAAAAATTTGGTGCATAGCTTTCTTAAGTCTTGTTGTCTTGGATGAATAGCTTAAACTTTTTCTGCTTTCTGTTTTCTTGCATAAGTATGCTGCCTATAAACCTCAACCTTTGTTTTAATGACAGGTGCCTTTAAAATTAGATATTAGTTCTTGAATTTCCATGTTACTAGAGTGTAGGTGACAATTGATGGATTGGCTGTTGCTATTACTTTTTTGAAGCTTATATTGTTGGCACTTTGTGTTCATTGGTTCGATTTCTTTTGTCGGAAATGTTTGATTCTTTGGAGCTTTTTGTCTATTTGACATGTTAGTTTGTTAGCCATGTTAAGTTCTTCCATGCATAAGTGGTAATTGACCATTGTAAACTTTTTAAAAATGTTATTTGCAAATTTTATCGATTATGTTGGTAATGTATTGCAATGCATTTGATTGGCAGCGAAGGGTTGATTCAGGATATCCCAAAGTTTCTCATATTAATGACTATCTCACATTTGATTACAGCTAATTTAATTTGCAGATAAAGAAAAATGTTATTCGCATCAATAGGGATGTAATTATAAGGTATATGTCGTGGAATGCTTCTAGAAGGTCAAAATTGCACCAGGATGTATGCTTGGTTGATCCAAATCTCACCTCGAAGATCTCGAGATCTATGCCCTGTACTTTTTATGGATTTTCCTAATTTAAGGTTTTCAACCAAATCATGGTCAAAACCTTGATAAGGGATTTGGTGACTAGTTTTAGGTGTGGTTTCTTTCTTTTCTAGTTTCGAATAAGGATTATGTTTTTGTATTCATTTTTTCTTTTTCTTTATTTATTTATTTTTATTTGAATATCTAGAGCTTAGTTTCCTCTTTTGTAATAGGAACTTTGTTTCTTAATTGAAAAGGTTGCCAAGTTTCCTGACTACAGTTTATATAGCAAGTCAAGTGTTGCTTAGAATTCCAAACAAAGGATTAGGGTATGCTATAACTACATGTCTTGGGCCGAATACCACGAAATGAAGTTCAGGAAATGAATAAAGAGTGGCTTCTTTAAACTTAATTTTTGGATTGCATCAATGGGGTGTTGATTTCTCATCATCTTAAAGTGCTGATTCTGCAAGAAACACCTAATGGTGCCCACTCCATATAAAATTTAGGTTTTCTTCCTAGTTCATGTGCAGTGATTCTATGCAAGTCTAGGGCCCCTACTCTTTCGTGGTGCTCATAATATGAAAACCTAATATTGTTTGCCGTCGAGTCTATACAAATTTAGAGAGCCTTCTCTTTCAAACAGCCACTACCTCAACAGTCCTCTTGGTCATCCCATCTGCCATTCCCTTATAAACACTAGTATGTTACTTTAATCACTCGCCAACCTAGACCTACTTTGGTAGGCACCATTCCTTGGTCGTACATTATATGTTGCTCTTACTTTATTCAAGGTCATAGTCTTACTTGAACAGCTTTATGGATGAAAAATTGACTGCCTTCATGGGATCTGATGGTGGACAGTTGCCTGGTTCATATAAACCAAATGGGTTTGCCAGATTAATTGCTTGTTTCATTAATATGGAAGCTGCTTTTTATGGACTAAAAGAAAATTTTCAAGGAAAGGCCTCTTATAATGTCTGCCCCATATGGAGGTCCTTCAATAATGAAGATCCAATTAATTTTTTAGCATGTTTACGTTTAATATTTACTTTTATTTAGGTAGTTATTGGATATTTTTACTTGTCATATTCAAAGGACGTGGTGTTTGAAAATTCCTTATTTAGGTTTTCTATTTTTTAAAGATACCTAATGAATTCCTCTTTGATATAAAAATAATCTTTAATAATTGTATGAATTAGAAACGAAGTTTCAAAATAGATAAATCATTTACTATTGTATTTTCTTCTATTATTTGGGGAAATTTATGCCAATATTCTTATAACTTGAGGAACTAAAAACATCTCCCCAATATTTCATATTTTACCCTCATGTCCCTTTTTTGTGTTCTTTATTTTTTTCCTGAAGTCCTCCCGGTTCGGAATTTCAAGCTCCCAATGGGTTCTTCTTCTGTAACTGGGCTCAAAAAAAGAGTGGAGGAGTAGTTTGGAGCTTTAAGTTCCGAACCACCCTTTCTATTAGCCCAAAATGAAAAAATGTGCTATGCTTCTGTGGGAGCACATCCTACACTAAGTCCCACAAAGAAATACATTTTTAAATTGAAAGTCAAGATTTTCTCATTTAAAAATAATCATGGTACGATTCTAAAATGGACCTAAAAAATTTTATATAAAAGAAATCATTTTACTCGAGGGAGAAATCACACAATGTGCTCCTGTAGAGCACTTGGAAGAAGGAAAACATTAGGGTGAAAAAGTGTGGGGTGCATTTACCCCGATGACACTTTCTTTGTTACAGGTGCTTCTGTAGGAGCACACTGTGCACTTGCTCCCTTAGGTAATAAATTTTTCTTGATCTAAAATTTTTGGGATATAGTTTAAAATCAGCCAATGATTATTTTCAAATAAGACAATCTGTATTTTTAATTAAAAAATACATTTTTTTTAGAGACTAGCTGTATGATGTGCTCCTCTAGGAGCACAACAGACATGTTTTTACTTGGAGCTTTGAACAGCTCCTTCACTTCCCCCCTCCCCTCTCTTTTTTTAAGCAAAGGACTGGTTAGAAATTTAGGTTCTGAACTGCCCTAGTTACAAAAAAATCACTTTAGAACTTCAAGTTTATAATTGATCTCTTAGACTAAAAGAAGACCATGGTTCCGAACTTGAAGTTCTGAACTGAGGGTATTCTGCGAAAAAATAGAAAACACAAAAATGGGACATGAGTGTAAATATAAAATATTATAATGGATATTATTGATTGATTTTTACTTCACTACCAGAGGACATGAGGTGTTCTAAATTTTTTAGAATTATTTATCTAGGTTTTAAGTTTTCAGAAAACTAAAACACCTAATAAGCACTTCTTTGATATATTTTAATTAGTTGGTAAATAAAATGAAAATACAAATCAAGTACCCTAAATATAAAGATTATAGAATTTAGGGATTTTTTACATTAAGGAAACACATATACTGTCTTAGCATTCCTCGATTATTGGGCTGTTGTATTAATGCCTCCATTAATGGAAGCCCTACCATGTGGAGCGCTCTTCAGCCCACACACTTTTTGTTTTGTTTTTTGACATTTATTCCTGGTTAGAGGCTTTTTATGAAGTTCTCTTTCTTAGACTTTCTCTTTGTATTTCTCAAGAGAATCTCTCTCTCTCACACACACACACATTGGGACGACTGTATTCAAGCTGCCGACCTTAGCATTGCAGCCTTTTGCCCTAACCTTGGTTGTCTATCTTTTCTTATTTTTTGATGGCCAATCTAGGATCAAACTTAGTTGGAACTATTGTAGCCCTGGCACCTTAACCACTATGACTGCGTGGCAAACCTTTAGGTGTGGTTCCCTTCATGCAAACTAACCTTGGTTGTCTATCTTTTCTTATTTTTTGATGGCCAACCTAGGATCAAACTTAGTTGGAACTACTGTAGCCCTGGCTCCCTAACCACTATGCTGTGTGGCAAACCTTTAGGTGTCGTTCCCTTCATGCTAACTTGCAATCTTCCTCAGGTGGCATATTTGTTCGAAAGCCCAATTTCCTTATGGGTGCTCGCAGATGGGATATTTCTCTACCCAAAGGGTGCATATTCCTCATGCCTTCACCTCTGTATACAATTTAATGAATGAGCTCACAATACAGTTGAGTGAGTCCCAATGAGGGAAAACGTTGATGATACTAGCTCATATTCTTTGTCCTTTTTTTCTGTTTCGTAGTTAGGTTGTTGTTTATAACATAGACTATGGTATTCCAGGTTTTATGCCCAAAGTCCTATGCCAAGTGGCTGAACTCCATTTTCCTCTCCTTTTCTCTTGTAATGTATTTATGGTACATGCATGATGAATTAATGGCTGTATAAACTGCTGGTATTGCTGGTGAAAGTTGAGTCTTGTGTGCTCCCGCTCCATTCTATTTTGTGTAAGAGAAGACCGTCCCTTTTTCTTTTGGGATGAATCGGTGGGTCCAATTTAGGAATGCTACTTTTTTAGGGGGTGTTTCATAGATGCTTTGTAAATGGCCCTCCGCTATATGTGTGGTACTGACACTCTTAAGGGGGACCTGTACCAGTTACTCCCCCTTTTACCAAACATGCCACACTTGAGTGTTGGATCCGATGGCATTTTCCCTGAATCAACCGGAGGAAATATACAGTGTTGTGGAGAGCGCAAGCCCAGCTCACACTTTTCTCTAAATCAACTATGGCTTTTTAGTTATTTGAAAAGACATCACTTTCAAAGAGTTCCCATGTAAAATGAAGAGCCTTCTTTGATGACCTTTATGGATAAGCTCTTGCTCACCATTAGGCATTTTTATCTAATACTACTAGTACTACCATTATTACTAGTGAGGGATATAATACTAACACACATTTCAAGAAAAGGAAAGGAAAAACTATCATGTTTATTTTTGCATTTAAGGATGGGATTGGGCATTTCAAACAAATATATGGTTAAAAATTTTAAATCTAAATTTAAATGTCACAAAAATCCTAAAAACTATTAAATATTGAAGTAGTATCAAATGAAACATTGGCAATTTAATGCAATTTGGACATTGATCTTACACAAGTTCTTATCCAGATTCCTCTCCATTGTCTTAATAATGGGAAGATGTGATCCGAAGGGGAATGGAGAAAACCTTCTCTCTTTCCCAACTAGCATGTATTTACTTGGGCAAAGGACTAACTTTAAATGAGTGAATTTCACATTCTCATTGGGAACAAAAAAGGTTTGTATCTATGGTAATCAATTTGTGATAGTATAGGTGGTGTCTTCCCAATTCTGTGATTTAAGTTTCTTTCCTGAATTTCTTGATTGTTTCAAAACTAAAAATACCATAGTTTTGTTTGATGAAACATAACTATTATGATTTCATATTTCTATGGAAGTTCTGCAATACTTGAGACTCAATTGCTAGGGGCAGAAAAAATTAGGTCTCACAAGACAAATTTTCTGATGCTGAAATGTACGTTATTTTTCTGCAAATTCATCCATCCTGTGTATCAATTCACATTTGTCCATCTTCGAATTTTGGACTGAACCAAATTTGAATACAAAAGAATTAACATGTCATTTCTATTTTAAAATTCGTAGAAATTCATTAATGCAGAAACTATAGAATTGTTAAAGAAACTTTGGTGATTAAACTGCGTTCTAAACTCTAGAATTCCTTAACCTTTGTTATTTCACTGCAAACTATTATCGAATACCCCACAACTCCAAGTGCTACATGTGAATTGTATAGCTATGCACGCATTCCCTTCTACCACCTGTCACTGAGGATGGATGTTGGTGGAGATAATTCGTACCTTCATTCAAAAGAAGCCATTGTCCATCAAATCGAGGTATATATCTTCTCCATTCTCTCCATTGATGGAGAAAGTGGAACGGGCGCTTGCATGGCTATATCATACACTTTGTTTGTGTACTACCCAGGACTCAATTGACCAATAATAGGATGACAAATTTGATATCAGTTTGGTGTAAGGCTCTGAGATGTATTTGCAGGTTCTCTTATGGGGGGTGAGAGGAGGGAGGAAGCAACATATATTAAGGGCATCTGAGGGAGGTAAGGGCATCTGAGGGAGGTATGAAGCAGGCTGACAATTATAGGTGCAAGGGAAGAAGAAATGTGCAGAACAGAGTGTTGCTGGTTGAGGATGCCACAAAGGCGAAAAACTTACCGATAAGAAATTTGAACTGTCGCAATGACTAAATTAAATTTGTTTCCATAATTGATATGGACTAAGTTTAAGTTCAAGAGTAGAGTAGATAGCCATTTAGTTCCTGCTTTTTATAGTTAAACCTGTTTGTTTGAACTATCTTGGTCATTACTAGTGTGGAAATGAATAAAATTGGTTTGTTCTAATCGAGAACAAGAACAATCAGAATGCATCATACCCATTAGTGATATGTTATGTTGTGGAGTCTTAATTATGGTTCATAATTTTTCGTGCATATTTTCATCATTTCATTGTGTGACTACCTTACTTTTGATCGTAGTTAAGGGAACTGTGGGGCTAGGGTGGCATTCCCGCTCCAGAACCTCGATCCCCTTGTTCCTCCTCGGGATCTCGTAGGGATCCCGGTTTTTTGAATTTTGGGATCTTGCTCCCAAATAAAGGGGATCACGTTCCAACCATTAGTGGATTCCAGTACTATTTCAAAATCGATTCTCGCTCCCATCAAACATGGTCCAAGGTTTTGGTACATTATAATCTTGGATTTCCTAATCTACTTTAAAAAACAGATGAATCCAATTCCACGGTATTTCTGCACCTCTCAGTCCCAATTCCTACACTTCTCTCTATCCCCTTTTTATAAAAGTGGCAAATTTTATAACAGAGCAACAAATTCAATATTCATGAAAATGGCAAGTTTTATAACTGGGCAGATATTGTAAATTATGTGAATTTCTCCAATATTTAATACTCTATTGGAGTTACTTCAAACTATAAAATATCGAAGTTTCACAATATTTAATGCAATTGCAATTCCTTTACTTCACACAATTTCTCTTCTTCTATTCTCCTTTACCTTTCTCATTTTATATGAATTTTACTGTCATTATAATTGGATGGTAATATTTGAGCTCGTAGTTTGATAATTTTGTTTTTAGTTGAGATTACAAGAACCTTTTTCTTCCTATGAAGTGTTTATCAAATTTTTACTACAGATAAAAATTTAAATAATATACATTCTCTAGATGGTTTCTAAAATTTGAATAGATGTAGGAAAATAGATGTTTGCATTATCACACGACAATGCTCACATTGAAAGGACTACTTTGGGCATTTATTTTTTAGGGAAAAGTTTATATAAAGCCGAGGCTCTAAGCAATCAAATTAGAGCCTATCTCAAAATTTCACTAGAAGAGGTTATTTTGTTGCCCAAATATCCTCAAAATTGATCATCTCTAAGTCAAGATGCATGGACATGAGAAAAAAATTTGATTTCAAGTTTTGGAAATAGGGTATTTTGTCACGTATTTTTTGGACCGTCAATTTTCAAGATTTTCAAGTTTTCATAGATCTGTCGATCTATACTATTTTTGAAGATTTAAATTTTATAAATAAAGATGAAAATATATTTTAAGGCTATAACAAAAATTTTCAGTATTGAAACCACATTTTTCGACACTATTTTAAGGTAGGTTCTAATTTGATTGTTTAGAGCCTAGGCTCTATACAAATCGCACCCTATTTTTTATACTGATTATAATATTACTTTTTTTTTTTTTGAGAAAAAGTATATAATGAGATAATTTATCTTTGATACAAGGTGGTCATAATTAATTTTAGACCATTGGTCTCATCGTATACAATCCGTTCTTTTAAACAATTTTTGAGGTACCAAAGTATTTAAAAAAATATAATTAATTTTTTTACCATTTTGTTGTCATGTTTATTTAAATTAGATTGAAAGGTCTTCTATTACAAATTATTTTTTACAGCCCCCACAAAAGAACCCATCAAATAAGTGTTTTTCCAATTGAAACTTGTATGATGACTTGGAAATATATTTACGATTATGGAATTTGAAGCTCTAAAAAATAGTGTAGAACTGGTAGATCTATGAACATTTAACTATTTTTGGGTTTTTGATAAATCATTTAGTTATTTTTATCCATTTTATTTAAAATGTGGATCAGTGGCGATTGGCATGCTTTATAGAGTTACCATGTTCAATTTTTGTCTTAGAAAAATTGTACCTGTGTAGGAAAGCACAAACCGTGAACAGAACTCGGTCTTGTGCCGGGCCGGGTATAACCCGAATATGGTTTGAGTACCCAAGAGTTGGGTAGGTTGACCAAAAAATTGTTAAAAAAAATACAAAAAATTCTGGAAAACTTTGACAATTATGGTTAAAGTAAAAATTATATGAAACACACGAAATGAGATAAAAAAGTACGGAAGAAATAAATTTCGAAAAATGAATTTGTGACTAGAAGTATTTTAGAAATAATTCAAAAGAGAATGGAAAATGTACAAATAATTATTCATGGCCAAAACACTTTCCAATCTTTTGCCAAAATGTTAGAAAACATAAAAAAAGACATAACAAATTAGCTTATCATTTATTTTTATTATTATTTTTTAATAATTTTGTATAGATCTCAGCTTGAAAACCAGGGCGCCCAATGAGCGGGTCCGGGTAACCCAACTAGGTCTAGGTCGATCCGACCGATTTTACGAACGTAGGATTGTGCATAGATTTTTCGGAAATATTAGTCAATTGTTATAGAAATTTAATTTTGATTTATTTACATCTTTATCTTTATTGAGACTTAATATAAAATCATGTGATTTTTAATCTCTACTCCAATTTTTTAAGATATTATTCATTTTAATTGCTGTGTATAATTATGATGATTGTTTGATCACATGTGCACTTCTTTTATTTGTGATATTTTTTATTTAATACAGACTGATGGTAATTTCATTTTTCAATTTTTATATTTTTTAAAGATTTTATTATAGAAGGTTTAGATATTTGAATAGTTTTGGTAATTGACTTGGGTCTAATAAAGTATGCAATTTTTCTACCGTCTTTGGAGTCCTATAGTTTTATAACTTCACCTACTCCTAACTTGCCACATCTTTTACATGTCCTTCACTCTTGACTTAGAGTAAGACATTGAAATAACATGTTAGGAATCACATGCTGTCACTGTGATAAGAAGTTGAAATGACCTCCTTTTTATGTTATAAACACCTTACAATTCTCTTTCTCTAAATAACTTCTACAAACTAGAAAACTTCGAGTAAGTTTGGTTAGTAAACTAAAAAGTTGGTTAATACATACAAATATATTAGGGCATTGGAGGTAATTGAAGAGGTATATTGTTTGAGTATTTTTTTACTAATTTTTTATTACGATCTTGTAGTTTTCTTTTTGTTTTAATGATTATGCTGCATAACTTCTTATTGATTACTAATTATTTTTCTTAGAATTTGCATTACATTATTTGTGATAGTTGGATCTCTTTTTCATTTTCTTAAATATGCTTTTTAAAAGTCATGTTTTATTGTGATGAAAGTAGAGGAAATTTTCTAAAGGATTGGTTTAGGCTCATGTTCTATCTAGAAGTAATTTTTTGCATTTTAAGATGAAATAAATATTGTAGTTTCTTGCAATGCCCAATGCATTTATATAAGCATGTGCATCTGACAAGTACAATTTAAGGATCGAACAAATGAAGAAGAAAAATACTTATTAAATGCTCTATGGTAACTAATATTTCCATCCTTGTAAATTAGGTATTATAAATTATCGACCTAGCATTGGTTCGTTGGAGATTCGATAAAAGCATGAGAGTTTACTAAGTAATAGAGCACAAATTATAAGAATTTCTTTTAATTTATTCATTTATTATTTTACATATTATAAAATACTTGTTTCTTTCTCAATTACTGAGTTTTATTATTAAAAAAGTAAAGGATATGAAAGGTGTGGAGATTTTAATAAAGGATATGAAAGGTGTGGAGATTTTGGTTATATATTGTCTTTTTCAATGTAGAAACATGTAGGAATTGGGCTTGGGCTTGAGTGGTTAACATTGACGTCTACCTCTCAAGTTGAATTCTTATCACTTAACTCCCCAAAAAAAGAGAGAAAAAGGTTCCATGTATGTATAAGATAAAGTATTCAAGAGGCATTCCATAAGGACACGATATCTATGAGTCCACGTAGAAATGAGTCACCTCTTAAAAATCTATTTTTGAGATAGATTTTTGGACTTAATATTTTAAGGACTTGTAATCTCTAGCATGGAGATCATGAATATGAATAAATAAATAAATTTTAAAAATTTAAAATAATAATTCTATTAAGAAAACATTTGGACCATTAGTTTCAATAGTTTTTAGCTGGACCATATATTTGTATCCATATTTAAGATGGATGCTTTATACTTTGGAACTGTGTAGGTAGAAATGTGGTTTAGCCCACATGAAACAATTTTTCATTCCATAAATATACCCTTCCCTGAAACATAGTTCCATACATGTATATCCTCTATCTCAAAGTTTAAGTATTATGCTGAATTACCCCAAAAGAAACATAGTTCTATACATGTATCCTCTATCTCAAAGTAGTTCCATACATGTATCCTCTGTCTCAATCTAAAACATTATATTGAACTACATGAATAAGATGACCTCCTCCCTCTAAGCTAAGGTATCACGTTAAATATATGTGGAATGGGATAAAGTATTTAAGAGGTATTCCATAAACATACCGCTTCCCTAACTCTATCTCACTACATCTACTAGTTTCATGAAGATATTTGTACCTCCATCTGTTGAAGTATATATGTAAAATGGGATAAAGTATTGTATATATATAAAAAGAAAACAGATTGATAGGGTCACAGCCCTATCAAAACAAGTAAATCCCCACTTTATAACTCATTGAAAATTGCAACTCAAGCATTGGAAAACCTTTACATCGATCATCTCGACTTGAACATTATGGTTGTGGAAAAACATAGGATTTCAAGCTCTAAAAATAGTGTATATGGTAACAAGTTATGTAGACCGTCCATTTTGCTTTAAAGATAAGTGTTCACAGATCCGTAAGATCTGTACTATTTTTTTAAGTTTCAAGTTTTATTGTTGGTGTCGGAAATTGATTTTAGAGTCATCATAAATATTTCCATCGCTAAAAGTACTCTCCAGACTAAGATTTGAGGTGAGGTTTTGTTTTGTTTTCATAAAACCTAGGTCCTATAGAAACCTCATCCTATATAAGATGTGATAAAGTATTGAATAGGTATTCCCGAAACCTAGTATATTCCCCAAACATTTGTATATGTAGTAAAATGGGAGAAAGTAAC